CCAACAAAACAATTTAAATATTGGCAAATCACTTGTGATTAGATTTTCATTAATCAGATGAAAATAAACCAATTTTTATAAACAATTATTACATTAAAAAAAATCAAAACCGACATTCTCTATTAAAATTTGCCTCTGGAATTCTATATTTCTGTACTTTTATGAATCTTGTTTTCTTGTTATCTGTTAAATCCACATCCAGTGATTTACACTATTATAATATGTTTATTTAAAAGTTTCATAAATGACACATACAGTAAATACTCACAACACAATTAAAAACAGCACAAGCATCATGATCTGTGTAACAGAGCAGGAACTTTCTTTAGGCAATTCAAAAGATCTATTTATTAAAAAAAAATTTACTTTATGACTGGATGTATAGTGTTATGTTGACATTATATAAATGTTGATTATGGTAAAACACACAGCTCAAATCATATTAGCAAGTGCATAGTTTCCTAGCATTGTAAAAATAAAGGTAAAACTGAGCAGAACTGGAGCCCCTAAGGGCACATGGTCAAGGAAAAAATATGAGAAAAAAATGACATTTTAATGACTGTGTTTGCTGTTTTTGTGTCATAAGTTATGCGAGCGAATGCAGAGTTTCTGGGGAGAATGCAAACGTTTTGCAAATGTACGCAGAGTTGCAAAACTTGCGAGGGAACAACGTTTTTCAGGGGGATGCAAACGTTTCTTAGGGTAATGCTAAACTTCCGAGCGCATACAATGTTTTTCGGGAGAATGCAAATATTTTGCAAGTAAATGAAAAGTTTCTTGGGGTAATGCAAAACTTTTGAGGGAACAAAGTTTCTCCGGAGAAATCAAAAGTTTTGCATGTGAACACGTCACAGAGGCAGTAGCTGACAGAGGTTTGATGACGATTCCCAGCACCACTCCTCGGCCCAGTCCTGAGGCCTTATCCAGCACCTTCAGTCTGAGAGCCAGATCTCCCAGACTGCCCTGCTGCTCCTCGGGCTCCTGGAAGAAGAAATCTTCATTGAACACGGGGTTATGGCAGTTCCTGATGATGGCACTGTGTTGCCGCTGCAGCTTGCCTGGGGTGAGGCTTAGGGTCAAGCTGCAGGTCAGAGGTCGAAGGTCGCTGGGATCTCTCAAGCCTTCCACAGAGGTCACATGGATGGGAACTGTCATAGAGCACTGGGTCCTGAAGGCAGAGACGCGCACCCGGCCTCTCTGAGGAAGAGGAAGCACGTGCTCTTGATGGAAGCGTTCCTGGCAGTGCAGCATGTCCAGGGGGAACTGGATGGGCTGGGCTAGTTTGGTGCAATGGGATGTTTGAATAACTTTAGCACGGCGACGAACTTTTGACATGAGCTTTTTGTCTAGAGTGGAGTGAACTTTCTTTTTCTCGGCTCTAGAGGCATGAACTTCATGCTGTAGCGGCTCTTCAGAGATTGACTGTTCACAGGTGAAATCCTCTCTTCTGATTGGTGGAGGTGTTGAATAAGGGGAGGAGTCAGCAGAGGGCGTGTCACTCTCAGTGCTGGCCGTCTTCAGCACTGCTCTACAGGACAGTTTGGGTGTTTTGATGGTCGTTCGCTCTAGTGAATGAACAAAGACTCGTAGCATTTCAGTGAATATGGGATGGGTTTGAGTTTGTTTAAAGCCGCTGTAGGTTTGTTTAGACTTGCTCTCAGTGGATGGGCAGTACCAGGTCTTGACAGTGATGTTTTTGCAAAGCTGGAAACTTTTTTTTTTTTCGTTCAGACACTGTGAGATTTTTCAGCGTCTGCCATGAGGCAGCGCTTGGTCTGTTTGGGAGGCAGGAAAAATTCAGGAATTTTTTCAGGTGTGAGGACGTTGCTGTGCAGTTTATTGAAGATGCTGGTCTTGGCCGAAATCTCCTCCTTATTTTTGCTGATGAGGTGATTGATCCGCACCGGGAGACTTTCTGCTCCCGCCTGCACTTTCTGAAGGATCCACATTGTGATTGATAATGCTGATCAACTCTGCAAAGAAAGAAAAGGTTCAAGGGATAGTTCACTCAAAAATGAAAATTCTGTCATCATTTACTCCCCCTCATGTCGTTCCAAACCTGTTTGCCTTTTTTTCTTCTGCAGAACACAGAAGAGGATAATTATTTTGAAGAATGTTGGTAACCAGACCGATACCCATTGACTTCCATTGGATGGGCAAATACTGTAACACTGAGACATTTCTCAAAATGATTTCTTTTATGCTCCACAGAAGAAAGAATGACATGATGACAGAGTTTTCATTTTTAGAAGATATATCTCTTTAATAGTAAATTAATACCATTTTAAACAATTGTGAGACATAAGTTGTGACCCAAATGATGAAGTATACACATATACTATGCACATTGTACTCTAACGTCTAGTGTGTATGAAGTTTTGAAAAGCGATCCAGCATCAGAGTCTGATAGCCCTGATAGTCTCTCTGTCCAACGTTCCACACTTTTGTTTTCAGTTAAATAAGTGCATCATCTGGGTTTTTGAAGTGAAGTTGGAATTTTCAGTATTAACATACTACACTCACTATATACTTTATACTACAAAATGGCACAGAATAGTGCATAAATACACAAATTGGGACACACCTATAAAATAAAAAAAAAAAAGAATAAAAATATTGTCATGACATTTTATGCTGTAATCTATAATTCTTGTTTGAATAAATATTTCATCTTTTAAAAACTAAATAGAGGGGAATTCGTTTCAACTTTAGTTTTTTTGTATTTTTACATTTTCTTTCATCAGCAACACATACTACAAATCTATGTTCTTTATCATGTGGTATAAGATAATTTACATTAAGAAAGGACAGATGATTATATTAAATTTACTAGAGTGTTAGAGTTGCCCCCATTACAGGAGTAACCGGTTAGAGGTAACTGTAACTCTAGAAATAAAATAATAAAATAAAATAATTCACTGTATTTCAAATAAGAAAGCATAAAATTAGTAAAAAGTAGTTATATAATAGTTTTATTACTTCTTAATATTACTGAGTAGTTTTAATGGTTGGAATAATACTACGTCTCAGGAAGAGATACATTTTTACTAGAAAATTTGAAGTCAAGAACAATTTTCATAATAATAATTGAATAATATTCGTTACATATTTTCAAGAATCAAAGGTCATACAGTTCTTATTTTAGAATATAACTGTAACTTACTGTTTCAGTTACCCAACTTCACAATCAGGTCTTGTGTGGCAGCAAGAGACAGTTGGCATCTTTTAATGTTATTTATAAATATATTGTTCATTGATAATTCACGTTTGTTTATTATACATTAATGTTAAGTTACACAACTAAAATGTTAAACACGTATTAGTATGTATAGAAATTAACATTAACATAGAGTGATGAATGTAAATGTATTGTTTATTATTAGTCCATTATGTCTAATGTATTAACTAATGTCGCCAAAATTAACCTTTTTGTAAACTGTTAGCATTATATATGTGAAATATAAAAGGATGATTTTGTCCTTACCTGTTTGGATGATGTGCAGTGGAGATCTGTGAGTTACTCTGCGTGGTCAGTAATGTTCAGTTCAGGTATGTCCATCATTTTTTCAATGCACAGTGGCCAATCACAGCACACTTTCTGTCCTATAGGCGGCCTCTCTCTTTCCTCTGTATGTAGCCTAGAATAGTTTCCTTATCACCTAAAATCCATGAAACTGGTTTCAGAAAAGCTCTCACAATCAGTAACCTATAAAACAGTTCTGTCACAGAGAGCCACACTGTTCTCAGATCAGATGCACATGGATAATTAAACATTTTTGTCTTATTCTTTCACATTTAAAGGTCAACAGTGAGATCACTGGTGTCACTTCAAAGAGAAACCTTTGCTTAGAAAACAGTCTGGTCAGGCTCTGTTCTCCGGTGTAGAGTCTAGTGTCCTGATTAAAGGTTGACGTCAGGGTTTTGGTGGGGGGAATTATTCAGCTCCTTCTCTGGGTATGTCTTTTGTTGTATGTCTGTTTGTTTGTAATGGAAGTTTCATGGTTTTTGTATGTATTATTTATGTAATCATTTTTATATCATAATTTATTTCATAATTGTTTGCTTTTAGTGCTTTTCATCTGCTCATATTATGGCACTTTTGTTTACAAACATCACACAATGCAGATATGTGTTGTAATTCATTAGGAGGTGGTTAATTCGAAACATTATGAAACTGGTTATGTATGTGCAATAAACTTCTGAAATCCTCAAAACAACACACATAACCATATACAGTTTCACAAAATATATATTTTTTAATGATATATATATATATATATATATATATAT